TGCTCCGGCTGGCCGGTTTGTTCTCCCCCCGCACTTCGCCGCTCCGGCCGGGGACAGGTTTGTTTTCCTCCTCCCCTCCTCCCCCTCCTTGCTGCTCCGGCCGGCCGGGCGTTTTTTGCTTTGGGCGGCAAAAAAGCCAGAGTTGGCCCTGAGTAGAAGCAATAAAATTGACCAAGGTTTTGTTCATTTCATTCCGTTACTGCTTGGGAAAGCTATGAGCAGCAATAGTCTGCTGGAGCAGTCTTGCTGCAGACTCAGAGCTTCATTGGTTCACATTTAGAAAATTATTTTCAGTACCCTAAGGGCGAGGAATGTAATTATTTTTAAATAAAAATTTAAATTCTGCATAAATTGCTGGTTTAGGTTCACACATACCAGGAACATTTTTCTACTCACCATTGGCAAGTTCTGCCTAATACAGAGATACTTTAATGGCACCATATAAACTTATAACACCTGAGTTACTGGTGTACATTTAGTCCAGTTTTCTTTTATGAGAATGAAATATTATAAAACAATATAATTAATATCAGCCACATGTGTAGCATTTTATCGAATGTGTTAGGTAGGTCAAGGGCAGATTATCTGGAGATGATCATGTTGAGTATTTTGATGTGGTGTTGGAAATCTGAATATTTTATTAGGTTGCCACAGTAATGAGAGAAGAATAATTTCTCAATTTTAAGGCAGTCAATGTTTCAGGTAACAAGCCTTTGAATGGGTTTATTAACCTCAGCTTCCTGATGTTCCCTATAATTAAGATTAAAGAAAGTAAATTACCATTGCCTTGATTGAGAGTTAAAATTCCTATACACGCTTACTTCTGTTCTTTCTCTCATTCTAATTGTCTGTCTCAGTTAGTCAGTCTACTGGTACTGATGTTGTACAGCTCCCCTTCAAATCTTCCCAACTGCCTTGTAGGACCAGTGCTGGAACTTCATTTATAAAGAAGTATTTGGACTACAAGGATTTAATGTGTAAAAATAGCCCATTGCATTTCTTCATGCTGAGATTTCAATGTGGGCAAAAAATAGAAGGCAGCATTAGATTTAATTATCTAAAGTGGGGCTCCACTAATACTAGCTAAGATTATAGCAGCTAATAGCTAGGTTTTGATTAATGTAGTCTTATTAAAACTAATTCTGTTAATTATTATAATACATTACTGTATTCTTGATACCACATTCATCTCTTTTGTTGTCATCCTTAATTTTTTCAGTATTCTAGTCCATGAGACATTCTAGGTGTATCTAACGACTCTTATTTGCTGTGTCTGATTGTTTCTGTTAATAACGTATACATTTTTCAGTTTAGCTATCTTGATTTTCCGGGTCCAGTCTTGTGCTGTTTATAATGCTCTGCGGAGTACATTGCATTCATACTTTAATTGTGACATTATTTACTGCAATAGTCTAGATTTTCACTATTATATTGATGACTTACTACTAACACAGTGGCCTTCTCTTACTCCCATTTATATTTTTGACACGATGGTTTAGTGACTTACAAAACTGGATGAGCAAACCCTTTGTGTCCTAGCAAAGCAAAAGTCAAAATATAAATGTACTGCGCTGGGCCATCCCAATTTTCGATCACATTGCTAAGTCCCATATTATGATCCTGACTGACTGACTTAGTTCATAATTTGAGTGTATTTTTGTACATCATTTGAATTTTATATTGATACTATATGTTACCTAAGGGCTCAACTTGCAGGCTGACTCATGTGAACACTTCACTCGTATGAGCAGTTGCATTGAAATAACTGCAGCCACTAATATGAGTAAGGCTGGCAGGATTGGGCCCTGAATGTGTCCCTTCCTATCTTTACTGTATTTCATGCGATCCATCTTCACAGGAATTTGGGTGGCCTAGTGGACTTTCTCCAAACAGAATCTTTGGGCACTGGGATTTTTATGTCAGGCTGTTGTTACATTGCTGTAAATCCATTGAGTTCACCACCTTTACTCCTGATTTACAGCATTGTAAATGAAAGCAGAATCATGTCCACTCTGCATGTCCACTCCTTTGTGAGGTTTGGCTTTACTGACAACTGAAATATCAGCAAGTAAATGTAAGCATCTTCCTAAGCGTAGCTGTTCCTAGGGTTTCCCTACAGAGATCTCTCTGTCCTAGACACAGGCTCCCTATGCGCAAAGCCTCTGTCACCTCCTTCACATATAGGGTAGAGTTAATGAGCCACATCTGCCACAATGACTTAGCAGGAATCAAGCAGCATCTCCCTGAGGGGTCCATCATCTGCCAACAGGGTGGATCAACAGAAGAACCTTGCCACCACATTACACTTTGATACTTCTAGACTGTAAGACTGTGTAATAAAGAAAATGACCTGTTTTGCAGTGTTTTACAGTCGACATAAAGCATTTGTAATATTTAGAGATTAAATGCTGTAAAGCTATGTTAGTGCAGTATTAAGGTTGCACAGTTAAACCTTCAAATCCGGAAATGCAAAACGTAAGTCCAAACATGCAACCTTAAATACTGTTCTACTGTGGAAAGTGACTCTGTAAAACGCTAGTTTTGTAGGATTCCAGTTTATTGTCTTGAAATTAATTACATCTTCAGTGTCCTCCCCTCAGGCAAAATCACTTGTCCACTGGTACCTAAGAATTCAGCTCTGGCTTTTTAACTAAAAAGTGGTTGATCCAGTTGTGGGACTGTCTCTTTCTCTTAAGAAAACTAAAGTTAAATATTGTTGCTGCTGTGGTTGTCTACGGCATTTCTCTGCATTCTGCTTGTTCAGTTTTATGCTGCTGTGACCAGGTGTCTCATTTTTATTCTCTTATTTTTAGTGTGTCTGACTCTCACTTGGTGTTATGTGTTTTATTTTGTCCCTCCTTTAATATAAATTTAAATGCCACTGCCTCCACCACTCTGAGACAATGAGTCAGAACTGGGAGTATGTAACAATTCATTTAGAAACTGAGAAGAAAATTCTAATACTCAATAATATTATGTGAAGTGTCCAAGTGGACTTCTAGAAATCTAGATCTGACCATAGGGCCTCATCCAAAGCCCACTGAAATAAATGGAGAGACACCTTGACCTCAGAGGCTTTGGATCAGGCTCATACAGAGTAAGACAAGTGAAGTGCTCCATTAGTGCTGCCTTTTGTAACTGTGAGTGAATCTGTAAGTGTCCCCTGTCAAGCCAGAAAAGAATAGTCTGATGGGGCTGGAAGGTCTTCTACTCTTGAGTCATTCACATGTTTCTACATCAAGTTCTGGCATGTGCTTTGCTGCCTCTATGTGCCTGGGCTTATTTAGTTCAGTTAAATTCATACAAAGACCCATGTTCTTCCACTGTAATGCAATTGAACAATGAAAACGGAATTTCCATCGAGGTCAATATGTCCTGAAAGCAGGTGGCCTGGTGGTTAAAAGCTTTGTTAAATGTTTCTGCACTCTGTCATTTGTTGCAAATTTTATAGTATTTAAATATAATTTTAGAGACAACAACTGACATATTCCTCTCCTTTCCCTCCTCACTCAGTACCTGGGTAAAGTGGCCTAGCAGATTGTCAGTTTGTACATTGTCATAATGGGTTGATTCTTCTTTAGTCACTAAGCCACTATGTGGAGTAAAAGCACTGAAACAATAGGAATGCTGATTTCTATAGCCTGCTGAGGCTGCTGGCACCCAAATGTTCAATAGCAGCTTCAAGCAGATAAATTTGATTTTTTCTGCAGTGTTGGCAACACAGTCCCAGAAGTTCTTGCCGCTTCAAATTTGCTACCCTTAAGGAGTTCAAAACAGTTTTCAGTTGGCCGTTAGTAGCAAGTGTCATTGACCGGAGATTGAACCTAAGAATAAAATGTGCCTGAATGCATCTTGTAATCAAGGAAGCCTCTAACTGTGCTAACTTGATCATTTGGTTGTTAATTTTGTTGTGCTGATCCAGCTAAAGTCATTGTAGTTAAGCTAAAAGTCATGACGGGCTGAGTGGATTTGAGGAGACATAACATAACTCAGTTTTGAAACAGACTAGATTGGAAGTTGAATGTCTCCCTTTAGGGCTAAATTGTGCCTCTTAGAGGGTAGAGTGATGTGAGGGAGGGGGAGAACTTTTGGAGAAGTGTGGTGAGCAGCAGGACTTGCTGCTATACATTTAGGCTCTGGCTACACTATAGAGCTTACAGCAGTTCTGCAGTGCTGCTAGTGCAGGTGCTCTAAGCCCATGGGAGAGAGCTCTCCCGTTGACTTAATTACTCCAGCCCCCATCAGCGGCAGTAGTGCTGTCCACACCGACAGTTAGGTCGATGTAACATATGTCGCTCAGGGGAGTGGCTTATTCACACCCCTGAGCGACATTAGTTATACCAACGTAAGTGGCAGTGTGTAGAAGTCCTCATAAAGGTATAGCCAGTGCTTCCCACAGAGGTCCCTTGCTTGCAATTGCTGCCTGTGCACAGGAATGGGCCCTGACCTGCCTTTTCCCTGTGCAGATGCACTTTCTCTAGGGCTTTGAACCTCGCAGGCACTGCTAGCTGGCACTACCCTTACACTGCAGAAAGTTTATGGCTTCTTGCTCCATCTCTCGCCATCTCAGTGCACAGATGTAGGGGCAGGCATAATTTGGTCCTTAATGTTCATACAGTTACGATGACTTCATAGTTACTGCTTTTAAAGAAATTGGAACTACATTAAATACAAATTCCAAAGCTGATTGCAAGTTAACAGATTGTGTTTATTAATTACAGATTATAATTGTCTTTCCGCAATATTTGTCACCGTTTCACCTACCTTGAAAGGAAAACTGAAATATTGATTCAGTTTTCACAGCTGTTTGGAGCATGAAGGGCCCATTAGGAAGACTGGTGTTTAGTAAATACAGCCGTTAAACAAACAGGAAAGAGCTGCCTGCCCCCTCAAATCTATAAAAAGAATTATTCTCCCATTTCATCCCAGCTATTACTCTTTGAGGAATGGGATATCTCTCTGGGGTTGTGCTAGTATCTTACATATTTTTCTACATTGTTGGCCTTGACCATCATCTTTCCCCACTTTGCAAGGATTAGATCCATAAAGAGGGTCCATTGCCTCTCTGCTCAATATCATGTTACCTGAATATGCAACCCAAGAGCACTTAGCTTCTTTTTACTGCCATATTGCACTGCAAGTTCATTCTCATTTTGCTATCTGTTATTACCCCTTTTTGGTTTTAAGTGCTTCCTCTAGTCACTTCTGATTCTGAAATAACAATTAAGAAGCTTGAGGAAATGTCTATGAATTAGAGGTGCTGTTGCTTATCTCTGTAAAACTGTAACACCTGCACTGTGACATTATTTTTAGTGATTTCACCTCTTTATTATTTTTAAGGGAATTGCACCAAAAATAGAATTTTCTACAAGAACAACCATTACTGAGCTTCCACTTCAATATAGAAAGCAGTTTTATGTAAGTACTTTAAATAAAGGACACAAACATGGACAGAAACATCAATGTTTGATCTGATCTGTCACAGTGCACCTGTCACCATTGCATTTAAGTGCCTCATACAGCAATAAGAATCACACCGATTCTGCACTGAAAGGCAAAATTTCTTTATTCTTCCCTCAGTTCACCTGCTATGACAAGAGGGCTCATTATTTGGTGGTTGTTGTCAGGAGGAGGATGTTGCTGATTATTCTGGGAAAGGCCAACACGAAAGAATGGGGCTTGCATTGTCTCCTAAAAGAGGCTAGACTGGGCTGATTGTGGTCTGTGGTGGGAAGGATTTCCCTGACCCATGGGCCTTTACTGACAATGGTTTGCTTCTGGCTGTGAGGGTTTCATTTTTGCAAGCTGTTGGTTGCTGTTTCTTCTGCTTGGTTCCCCCAATCCCCCCAACATAGCTTCAGTTTTCTCTGGATTGAGCTATAACTAACTAGCCAAGACACAATCTCCAGTGTCATTTGTTCCTCTGCACCAGCAGGGTTAGGTACATTACCAGATAATTATTCTTTATCGTCCAAATTTTGCAGTCCTTTCTGGAACAAAGTTCTCACTGAAGTCAAGGGAGTTTTTTTCAATTAAAGGTTCAGAATTACTGCTTCTTCAGAGCCAAATGCTCAGGTCCTTACTCAAACAAGCTCTCATTGAAGTCATTACTTCAGGATTTTGACTTTAGGTCTCAATCCTTCGAGTTGCTGAATGCTTCTTTACAGATGCTCTTAACTCCAGTTGAATTCAATAGAAGTTGGGACTACTAGCACCACACAGGGGGCAATCAGCATCTCGCAGGATCAAGCCCTGGATGAGAAGTTGTCAAACAAAGGTAAAATGGATAAAAAAGATAGGCTTGAGTCCCTGCTCCCTTCTTTCTGTTATTGATTTTCTGTCGCTTCTCGGCACAGAGTCACAGATTCCCCAGTTTTAATTTGTAGCCACATAGAGCCATATTCTGCTCTCAGATGTGTAGGAGCCTCCCGTTGATTTTAAACCCTGCTCAGCCGACTGTCTTTTACAGAGAGGTTTGCAAATAGTTTGTACATGTTTCTGCTTGGATAATTACTTTATGAGACAATTAATTTATCTAGCAGGGCAGAAACAGAATGAGGATACAAAGATCTGCCTCTGTATCACCCAGGCGAAGGAGCATTTCACCAGCACGATATAAGACAACAAAGAAAAAGGATAATAAGATCTGTAAGAGTCTTACAAGGTTATTAAGATCCCGCTCTCCATCTCCAAATGCTACAAAGCACCTGTGTCAGTTCTGCAAAGAAAACCAACAGCAGCAGTCAAGGCTAAGCCTGGGATCTGTTGGGTACAAACTGGATGATGAAACCAGGCCACCATTTGTTGTTAGACACGTAAGTCTTAAAATTGCTGTACTAAGTTAATTTTTTTTATTATTGTGATGATATTAGAGTAAATTGGGTGCTCCTGTTATCCTTCCTCATAAAGCAAGAACAAGAGGAGACCCAGAGAAATTAACCAGCAGCAAATTTGTAAATGTAAAAAGAAATGCTTAATTGATCTGTGGAACTCACTGCCACTAAATAGTATTGAGGTCAGCTAGTTAGCAGATTCAGGAAAAGATTAGACATTTGTATGATTAATAAGGACATCCAAAGTTACATTTAGATGGGATAAAAATTACAAGAGACTTAAACCCTCATTCTTTAGGCCATCAACAAACCACTAGCTGTCTGGGGTTAGGAAGAAGCTGTCTTCATGGACCAGGTTTTTCCTTAATGGTTCATCATAAGATTTCTTCCACCTTCCTCTAAAGCATCCAGTGCTGGTCACTCTCAGAGACAGGACATGGGACTAGATGGACCATTAGTGTAGCAAGATATAACAAACCCCATTTTTTTAATACGTTGGATTTCTTAAATGGCGAATCTAGAGAACATTCAAGTCAGTGGGAAGACTTCCATTGATTTCAGTGGGCTTTGAACTGATGGGGCCTTTCATCTGAAGATCTCAAAGTACTTTACAAACACTAGCTAATTAAGCATCACAGTGCCCATGTGAGGTGTGTGTGTGTGTGTATATATATATATATATATATATATATATATATATATATGGAAAAGGGGTGGGGGA